CATCATCTCTTTCCAATTTTATTATTTTAAGCATTCAGTGGGTCTATTTTTTTGAGGTACCTACTACTGATTTGCTTGTAACAGGAGATCTAACATTCTGTAACTTCCAAATCCTCAGCAAAACTGCTTTAAAACTGCTCATCATTGTGTTTGCTTGAGATTGTTTTCGGACAGCAACCTCCTAGTAACTCTAACGCATCTATCTTCAGAAAATTCACTATTAATTAACTCTCAAAATTAACTCTTTTGAGACCATCACTGACTACATAAGGCAAAAGTTCCTCTCAGAGTGCATTATTTTGCTTTTATTAATACTAATGAAATAGCTTGTCAACTGGACAACTGCTTGCAAGATACAAAGATACAACTCTCTAGTCATCCGCAATATACTACTCAACATTGGTAATGGCTTGATTGGAGTATTGTACTGTTTTCAGCACCACAGTTCAAGAATGATGGCACAATTAGAAAGAATTTAAAGGTGAGAAAGCATAATAATTAGACATCTTAAAAACTGTCAAAGAAGATTGAAAGACTTGTCTTACTTTGAAAAGAATAAGAAAAGTGGGGGAAGGGAAAAGATGGTGAAATAAAAGTTTTCAATAACTAGCACTGTGACAAAGAATGTAGTAATCTTTCCTTCATACCTACAATATTTCATACCAGAAAACCAGGTTTATATTTTAATAGTAGGTCAGATGTGAGGAAAAAGGGTTCCAGTGATAAAGACAGAAGAGAGAGGACTGCCTAGAGTACATTAGGAGTCTAGTCTCTCTGTGCTGCCAGTATCCAAGATAAACAGTAAATCAAAAATCACATAGTAATCATGTCTATCCAAGCAGCAGCTGCTCAGCCAGAAACTTCACCAAGTCTTTCACCTCACTTTTTCTACCATATTACAATTGTTTGTCAATCCTGGAAGTCCTAGGCTCAAGCTTAGAGATTAAGAAGTCTCACAATCTAAGGATATAAGTGAAGCACTAGAAGATGATTAGAGCTCAGAAAAAAATCCCTGAAAAAGTCAACAACAGACACTGAAGCCAGCAGTGCCCAACTAGGAATCAATAAACATGTGGCAGAGCTAGCCTACACAGGAGGTCATAATTTAAATTAATTTTTCCTTTGTGAAGATGGTTTTGAATGTGTGACTGAAGTACACTCACCACACAGTAAAATTCTGAGTGTAAGCTTACCACTGAGCTCTTGAAGAAAGAGCTCACATAATACTACGAGCTAACTTCTCAACCATCCTGACCTGGGTTTGGAGTTCAGGAAAAAAACCAAAACATTTCTACTTGATTTTTGACTGATCCCTAGAGAAGTTTGCAAATATGAGTGGTAAAAGTTCTTTTCCAAAAGAACACAGGTATGTGTGAAGGACTTTTTTCTTTTCTTTTATACTTTGAGACTCTAGTAGTAGAAAAAAACCCCCATAATTTACTAGGTCACTGTTCAGCAG